GGGCCCTGCTACCCAGACAGTTTTTAACCCAATGAAGTGTACGCCAGTCCAAGCCACTTGTACCCAGGGGGCTCTCCGCAGCACCCAGTGGAGCAATGGGGCCACCAGGGCTGGAGCCGGGCAACGAGGGATGGAATGTGGGAGCCAGTTCTGATCAGTACCTGGCATGACAGAGGAGCCTGATCCCGGTCCAGGGCTGTGCATGTTCTGCTGGGGAGCCCCCATGGTGCTAGAGTTCTGCACTCACCCAACCAAAAACCCTGTTACCTGCAGGCAGCAGCATCAGATGGAAGTGCAGGCGATGACACAAGCGGGTGTGATGCCGGAGGTGCTGGAAGCACAACTGGTAAGGGGGAGAGCCCATGTCAACCCCTGCCCCTGCCAGCATGGGGCTCCCTAGGGACAGGGGTCCATGGAGCGCTTGGTCCAGGCCCGGGCTGCGCTCCTGCGGGTAACTCCTGCTCTTGGGCATCAGCCCAGACCGTGCAGTGGGGCCTGACAAGTGTCCCTACCTTGTGTTGACCTACAGAAGAGGGAGGAGCTGGCGAGAAGAGGTGCCATTTCCTGGCTGTGGTGAGTGTCCCCTCAGGTGCCCTGTGCCCACGAGCCCGCACCCAGGTTCCCCTGCAGCAACTGGGATGGCTGGGATGCCTGCTGTGGCGTGTTTGCTCAATGCCAAGGTGTCTCACGTCCAAGCCTGTCCCAGTGAGCAATGAGAAATGCCTGGAGGGACAGCTTGTGGAGCTTCCAGAACAGTCCCCTCTGGCATGGGTGCAGGATGCGTCCAGCCTGCCCTTTTTCCAGCCCTTTTTCTGCCCCACAGGACATTCTGCCTTATCTTTGTGTGCTTGGAGCTGGCCGTCCTTTTCATGCTGGGAGTTGCGGTGCTCTACGCCTCCTGTTATGACCAGGAGTTCTTCTACCACCTGCTGCTTCATGTGCTGCCAGAAGATACCTACACTGACCTGGCATACTTCCTTGAAGACACCCTGTCTCTGGTCAGTGAGGGCGTGCTGCCCTACTGACATTTCTTCTAAATAAATCCAAGGCTTCTCTACCCAGTTGCCCTGTACCTGTGCAAGAAAAGGAATTGACCAGAAAAAAACAAGTAGCCTCCCCTCCCCTCCCCTCCCCTCCCCTCCCCTCCCCAAGGAGTTCCCACTGACTGCGGGAGGGAAAATATAGCCCCCATTTTTAAAAAGGGAAAAAGGAAGGCCTGGGAGCCACATGCCTTCCTCCCTTCGTGGGGGTGCACAGCTTTCATCGCCCTCAGGCACGAGGCAGAGCTGAGGCAGGGCCGGGCTGGGTGAGCAGGGCCGCCCTGGAAGGTTCTGTACTGGGGGCATGACTGGGGGGGTGCTGGGGGGGGAACAACACAGAGCTAAGGGGACACATGGGGCTGGGGACACCCGGAGCACACAGTCAGGGAGAACTGTACTGTATCCAGTGCTGAGGACTGAATCCAGTTCAAGAGTCCTGGGTCCAGCTCTGGGCTCCCCGGTACGAAACAGACCGGGATCTGGGAAGAGTCCAGCGGAGGCCACAAAGGTGATACGGGGCCTGGAGCATCTCCCCTGGGAGGAAAGGCTGAGAGACCTGGGTCTGTTCGGCCTGGAGAAAAGAAGACTGAGGGGGGATGTCATCAATGTGTGTAAATACCTGAGGGGTGGGGGACAGAGGGATTTGGCCAACCTCTTTTCAGAGGTCTGTGGGGACAGGACAAGAGGCAACGGCCACAAAATGGAGCCCAGGCAGTTCCGCACCAACAGGCGAAAGAAATTCTTCACAGAGGGGGTGACGGAGCACTGGGACAGGCTGCCCAGGGAGGCTGTGGGGTCTCCTTCTCTGGAGATATTCAAGGCCCGTCTGGAGGCCTACCTGGGCAGCCTGCTGTAGGGAACTGCTTTGGCAGGGGGGTTGGTCCCGATGAGCTCTCGAGGTCCCTTCCAACCCCTACAACTCTGTGATTCTGCAAACTGTGGGGGAGATGTGGGGGGAGCAGCTTGGGGTGGGGGACATGGGGCTGCACGTTGGGGGGCACATGTGAGTGACAACGGGGGTCTGGCGGGCACACAGGAGTTGAACTGGTGAGGGGAAAGGGGGTCATATAGGAGTGGGGGTGTTATAAATGGCTCAGTCTTCAAAATAGGATTGTAATGAAAGTTTACAAGTTATTAAAGGAATAATACTGACAGAGCAAAGCTGTCTGCTATCTTGGGAGCTGCTAGCCTGGGAACCCTGGGCATCCTTGAAGGGCATCTTTGAGAAGAACAGCTGAGATCCTGAGATGTCCTGAGGTACCCTCAAGAAGCACAAAACAAGAAAATGTGACAACAAACAGCACCCTGGAAAAGTAGAGGCAGCCCTCTGCCACTGGGAGACAGTTTGGGGGCTCCTTTTTGCTCCTCACAGCTGCTCCAGAGAGCCCTTTGCCTTTGCTTCAGCAGCTCAAAGCATCTCTGAGCAACTCTCGACTCCCTGAAGCAATGCTGCATGACAGCGAGCAGCTCCCAGCCTCTTGTCAGAGACCCCAAGCCCATCTGGGCAGCACCCTGAGTCCCGTGAAGTCTGCAGCAGGGGGAAGAAGCGCAGACAGCTGGGTTGTCCATGTCTTCACTGCAGGAGATCATGGTTGTGCAGCTGATCAGAGAGACACCCCTGCTGTGGGCCCTTGTGAGGGAAGGGTCTGCACTGGGCAGTAATAACTTTTGACTTCTCTGGCATGAAATGGTTCGCTATTTCCTTGTTTCCTGGGCTGGGGGTGCAGATGGGGTGCGGATTGTGGGAACCTGTGGAGAGGCACAACAGAGACAAGAGAGATGCTCAGGCCCCTCACCCCAATCTGAAGCGGGGGCTGCTGTTCCCAGCATGGTATAGAGTCTATGGAAGGGTTTAAAGAAGACGGTAGGAACAAGTCAGGACTGAACTGGTCCTCGCAGCTCCAGCTCAGGTTTTGAAGGGTGATGGAGTAGAGACACTAGGGAGACTGCCCTGATTCTAGGCTTTGAGAAGGCAGAGCTGGGGACTAACCCACAGGATCTCTCCTTGCTGGGCAGCCCCTCTGAGGTCATCAGGGACGCCACCTTACAATTACAGCTGTTGCTTCTTGTGATGTCACAGCTGTATGAAACCTTGCACTGACGAGGTGTGCAGCGGCGCCAACCAGAGAGGCTTCCAGAGCCAGCTGGAGCCCAGGAAGGATCTTCTTGGGTCTTGGGAGGGGAGCAGACTTTTCCCTATTTCCCTATTTCCCTTTTTCCGTTTTTGGCCAGTGTGCTGGTGCTGCGGAGATGCCAGCCAGGCTGGGCAGGTAGGTGCAAGAGAGCCCAGAAAGCTGGGAGGGGAAGGTGAGAAACCCTGCATGCTGCCTGGATTCCTTCAGCCAGGAAACCCAGCAACCCTCTTTCGTGGGCACAGCCCTGCTCCTTCTCTGTGGAGAGATGAATGGGGCCAGGCTGCTTTCCCCCTGTCATGCCAGAGTTCTTAAGCCACCTTTGCATACCGTGGGTGGTGTGCCACTAGCCAGATCTTCCCAACGGCCCGCAGGCCCTCGGGGGTTCAGCTGTATTGAGCAGAGGAATCTGGTGGCAGGCTAGCTCCTCAACAGATCCCTGGAAAATGTGTGTCCCAAAAGTAGGCTGTGATAACCACAGTCTTCCCTCTCCTTTAGAAAAAGCGTCACGCACCAGAAAGGCAGGAGGATTCTCAAGCTCCTTTTTCTTCTGCTTCCAGTCCTTTTTGGTGAGTATTCCTTGCAAAAATCAGATTTGCAGAGCTAGGGGGAGAGACTGTCCTTGTACACCATTGACGAGCCCATTTCTGTGATGCAGTGAATGCCACCGATGTCCTTTACAGGCAGGCTCCTGCCTGCCTGGGGCTTTGTATGGCTGCTGGCAGGGACAGGCTTGCAGCCAGTAAAATTCCCTCTGTATAGCTTTATAGCTTTGCTTTATGACCCTCTGAGTAGAATCAACCATGGCCTCTGTGCATGCTCTCCAGGCACTAGACCACACCACTGGTCTCGTCAGCAGGTCTCTCAGAGCCGGGCCCCTCCATTTTCTAAATCTTCTAAACTCCATTTTCTGGGCCTGGAGTATGACCACCAGGAGGCTGGGGTGGAAGCCTCTCTCTACAGCAGTTGCAGCTGTCCCAGCCAAAGCCCTCCGTGGGTGTGAAAGAAGAAAATGGGGCTCCAGGGATCATTAGCAGTCTAAGAAAATAACTCTCTCTTGATGATGTGACCCACAGCTGGTGACTACTGCTGGACACTGTGGGGAAAAGAAGCGTTGCAAGTAAGTCTTGGTGTGGGAAAGCCAATGCCTGCAAAGGCCACAGCTCTGCCCTGCTGTGTCCATGTGGAAAATGAGGAGTTTGGTCAAAGGCTCATCACTGCTGAGACAGAGAGTGGGTGGTGGGCAATTGTGTTGGTCAGTCCATCTTGGCACCTGGATGGGCTTCAATGTGCAGCCGGATCTTCCCAAGTGACCTGTGCAGGGACGGGATGAAGAGAGGAGCACTTTGGCAGAAGAGGCGTTTGCTCCCTCTGTACCGCTGGGAGAGGTTGGGTGGGATATGAAAGCAAATGGAAATGCAGACGGTGCTCTGCTGACTATAGCTAGTTAAAGAGCCCGACTTCTGGGGTTGGGATCTCTCCAAACTGCCTCGAAGCAGGGGAAAATTTTGCCACCTGTTACTGGGGCATTCTCCTTTGGGAAGCCCTGGCAGTGCTCCTCATGCTTTCTCCAGTGGAGTGTCTTTATCTTCCAGACCACGTTAGAAGTGCCCGAAGCAGAGCACAAGTCTACCGGGTAAGAGAGCTTTCTTGACATGGAAGTTTTCCTGGGGATTTGACTCAGCCAGCTGTGTGCCATTTTTGCACTCCCTTGCCTTGTTTTCAGGGCTCCTGACCTTTATCTGTGGTAGTGGAAAGGAGCCTTTTGTAAACCAGAGTAAGGGAAAAGGGGCTGAGGGGGTTGGGGTGGGGGGGAGGTAGATGGCCCATGGGAACCCTTTCCTCCGATGGGCTGCTGCTGGACAAGATCTGCTTTCCCTTTGCCTCCAGGACCTCTCTGGTTTGGCATGACCCTAAGAGGCAGGAGCTCCAGGAGAAGGAAGCCCATATGTCTGCTGCAGTGGAACAGTTTGTGCAGGCAGTGAGCAAGGTTCTGGAAGATAATCACATCCGAGGGGAGAAGAGAGAGGTAAAGGTGCTGGGGGCAAGTCAGAGAGCTCAGTGCCCTCTGAGGGCTTCCTCCTTGGCCCTTTTCGGTGGTAGCTCTGTCCTTGTGCTGCCTGCCCCACACCTGACTGCCAGGGCTCAGTTTTGCTTGCACTCTGAGCAGCACTGTGAACTTCTCCCTGGGCTGGGTGTCCAGGCAGGCACCTGCTGGGCTTGGCTTGGCTTTGGAGGCCCTTGCTAGAAACTTGCAGGTCGGACTTCTTAGCTGGCAGGCCCATCCTCCGGGCCAGCTGGAATGGGGCCTCTGCATGCAGCAGCTGGCTCAGGGCATGACTCCATCTCCAGGCTGGTCTGGAGAGTACACAGGGTGGAGAACATGGCTCTCAGGCAGAACCTGAAGGCGGTCTGTGCTTTGGCTCTGGACACTGGTGGCCTTTTCCAGGCTTCACTTGGTTCATCTGGGAATGCTCACAGTCTGGCACCTTTTCTGACAGGTCTTGCCTTGGGTTTTCTGACATGGAGCCCTTCCTTAGCTCTCTACTAGAAGTCTGCTCATGCAGAACTGCTGTGTGTTTGTGCTCACTGCTGTATCTCCATTCTTTTTTTTTTTTTTTTTTTTTTTTTTTTTTCCAGAACGTTCTGCACTTCACAAGGGACGCATTTGAAAAGGTGCTTAAAATCTACACCTGGATGCCTGACTGGGCCCTGAAATCCTTAGGTATGCAGACAGAGTTCACTGCACTCAGCTCGTGCCTGACACTCCCCAAAGCAACAAGCTCTGCATTCAGCCTGAGAAACACATCATAATTCACTGCTTCTGCTAATCTCCTGCATGTCCTAGTGAACTTCTTTCCATGTTCATTTCAGGTGCTACAATTGATGTGCAGAGGACTTCCAAGAGTTATGGTGGGAAAGACGCAAAGAAGTGGTGGATTTTTCCACTCTTCTCTTTTGCAAAACATCCAGAGACTATACTGCAGGTATTGCAAGAGAAATTGTGACAGCTGGTTTCCTTTCTTGCTTTCTGGTTGGGAGACCATGCGTTTCTGGCATGGGTGGGAGTTCTGTGGGTGTGCTGAGCCATGGAAGCTGCAAGAGATGTTCTCTGGGCCCCCCAGCACTGATCTGGTGAACCAAATCAGCCTGAAGAATGCCTGAAATGGTCCTCACAGGTCCAGCTCAGTTTTTGAAGGGTGATGGAGTGACATACATGTACATTAGGAACACCACCCTGCCTCTGTAGCCTTTGAGAAAGCAGAAGTGGATTGCAAAAGGCAGTTGAGCCTAGACACTCTCCAAACTTGTGCATCATGGTCTGAACTTTTGGGTAGACCTGTGCGGTGTCAAGAGTTGGACTTGATGATCCTTACGGGTCCCTTCCAACTCAGGATATTCTATGATTCTATGATTCTATGATCTTCACCTTCTGTTCATAGCCTAGCGTTTACTTGTGAGCTGAATTGCGACCTATAGAGAAGGCAAGGTCTGTGGCTCCTTGTTGAACAGCCAGATCTGTTCGCTCTCTGACTGCCTTGCCACTGACAGTCACTGGCTTTCTCGTTGCAGCCCAGTATCTCCCCAGGCGACTGCTGGGCCTTCCGAGGATCTCAGGGACACGTCGTCATTCGGTTGCCGGTGAAAATCTGGCCAGCAGCTTTTACCATCTGGCATATCTCCAGGGCAGTCTCTCCTTCCGGAGAAGTCAGCAGCGCCCCCAAAGAGTTTGCTGTCTCTGTAGGTCTCTGCCTGGCACTTCTTTTTGGGAGGCCCTGGCACTTCTTTTTGGGAGGCCCTGGCCCCAAGAAAACACAGCGCCAGAAAGCGTGGTGTGTTCCCTCAGATATATGAGGATTGGTTGCTGCAGAGCACCGCATCCTATCGAGGGGCACTGGAGACACTTGAACATTGTTAGACACGTCTGGAACCTTCTTCTGTGGTTCACAGACAAGGATCTGGGAGCAATTGCTCCAAGTGCCCTGACTTGGGTTCACTATCACTTGCACTAGAATACTGCTAGAGCCAAGGAAGGTGGGAAAGGATTCCCAGCTTTGGCCTCAGCATATTCCTTTTTCTGATGGCCTGCTTGAGACTGACCTGCCCCCACCATCTCTTGTCTTTGAGGGAGTGGATGAGGACAAAGCGGAAACGCTCCTTGGGCTATTCACCTACGACGTGGACGGAATGATTGCTCAGACCTTCCATGTGCAGGTATGGCAAGTACATGTGGGCAGGATGGCAGGGAGAAAGGACGGGTTGTCTGCAAGTCTCTGGAAGAGAGGGTTCAGATGATCACCCAAGCCACTCTTTGCTCTCCCATGTGGCTGGCTCCTGCTGGGAAGATGAGGTGGTTAGCCCACCTTTGGAAGTGCTTTCCCTTTCTTTCTGGTAAAGCAGAAAAAGCAGCAGTGGGCAGGGGCTCTGGCAGGGAATTAGTCCCCTTTAGGGCGAGGAGGAAAAATTGCTGGTGGGAGGGAAGATTGCAGACGTGTCTCCATCAGCAAGACCAAAAGCAAGACCATCAGCAGTGTCCCAAAGCAGCCTAGGGAGCAGAGCAGCTTGGGTTTCCACAACTCCCCTCAGCAAGCCTCTGAGGCCAGGGCTTTGCTTTCTAGGCACAGAGGGTGCCTCTATGGCCCTGGTGAGAAAGGGCCTTCTCATTTCCCTTGCTTCCTCCTCTGTCGGGGCTGCCATTTGGTTTACAGCAAGGGGAGTGCTGGCAAAGAGAGCTTCATAATTGTGCAGCGGCTCTTCCCACATGAGTAATGATGCTTCCCCTTGTTTTCTTTACAGAAGGAGCCTCCCAAAACGTTCCGCCATATCAGATTGGAGGTGCGAAGCAACTGGGGAAACCCAGAATACACCTGCATCTATCGAGTGCAGGTTCATGGGCAGATAGAAAAGCCACAGGAATTTATTAAACACGAATAATAGCGTTAGAAAGATGTGGCAGCTCAGTTTCATGTGTTTCAGCCAACCCTGAGGGTGGTCCCTGAAGCAGTGCACTGGGTTTACGTGACAAGGCGTTGGTAGCCGGAGGGGGCTGCAGGGGTGTTCTGAGTTTTAAATTGGGTGTCGCTGCCATTTTGCAGCCACTCGCCAAGGCAGCAACACCGTGACAGTATAAAAGCAGTCCCTAGGGAGGGCCATGACCCAGGAACGCTGCAAACAGGACGCCCAAATGGGATAGGCTTGGCAGTTAGCACAGGCAATTTGCGTGGGGCTGGGAGGAGCACGGGGAACAACCCCGTGCATCAACGTACATCCACGGGTCCTGAGGGAACCGGTGGACTTGCTAAGCCACTGTCCCTCATACCTGAGAAGTTGTGGAAGTGTGTTTAAGGAGTTCCCACTGACTGCGGGAGGGCAAATATAGCCCCCATTTTTAAAAAGGGAAAAAGGAAGGCCTGGGAGCCACATGCCTTCCTCTCTTCGTGGGGGTGCACAGCCTGAGGACTGAATCCAGTTCAAGAGTCCTGGGTCCAGCTCTGGGCTCCCCGGTACGAAACAGACCGGGATCTGGGAAGAGTCCAGCGGAGGCCACAAAGGTGATACGGGGCCTGGAGCATCTCCCCTGGGAGGAAAGGCTGAGAGACCTGGGTCTGTTCGGCCTGGAGAAAAGAAGACTGAGGGGGGATGTCATCAATGTGTGTAAATACCTGAGGGGTGGGGGACAGAGGGATTTGGCCAACCTCTTTTCAGAGGTCTGTGGGGACAGGACAAGAGGCAACGGCCACAAAATGGAGCCCAGGCAGTTCCGCACCAACAGGCGAAAGAAATTCTTCACAGAGGGGGTGCCGGAGCGCTGGGACAGGCTGCCCAGGGAGGCTGTGGGGTCTCCTTCTCTGGAGATATTCAAGGCCCGTCTGGAGGCCTACCTGGGCAGCCTGCTGTAGGGAACTGCTTTGGCAGGGGGGTTGGTCCCGATGAGCTCTCGAGGTCCCTTCCAACCCCTACAACTCTGTGATTCTGCAAACTGTGGGGGAGATGTGGGGGGAGCAGCTTGGGGTGGGGGACATGGGGCTGCACGTTGGGGGGCACATGTGAGTGACAACGGGGGTCTGGCGGGCACACAGGAGTTGAACTGGTGAGGGGAAAGGGGGTCATATAGGAGTGGGGGTGTTATAAATGGCTCAGTCTTCAAAATAGGATTGTAATCAAAGTTTACAAGTTATTAAAGGAATAGAGGTAAGCAAATAGTGCTGGGTGCGCCGGGAGTCTCCGCTCCACCAGGACGCACACCAGTTACATCCGGTAGCTGATTTTTATGCTCCTAGGCTAATACATATTCATTACTACTTCTAAAAAAACGGGTTATTATAATTAACTTCTGGGATCCAAACCCTCTTACTGGAGCATGCGTATCAGTCTCTGGTGGTCCCCCTGGGGGTCTCTGGGGGTCTTTCGTGCTGAAGGCTCATAGTCTTCCTCTTTTTTTTTTTTTTTTTTTTTTTTTTCTTGTCCTTCCCCTTTGTACTCCTTGGCAGGGTGTCAAAAGCTTACACAGCGTGCCCTGCAAGTTTTGTCTCCTAGCCGTCCTTCAGCTTCTTTTTCCTACTCCTTAATCTCCTGGCCACCTGGCCAGATATCAGGGGCTTGCATAGTGTCCCATTCAGAAGCCATAACAGTCACTAGTTGTTAGCAGTTGTTCTGAAAACCCCAGACATCAGAGACTTCAAAGAAAGAGCATACAAACAGAAATAGCTCTCTTATTGACACTCCACGAGTAGTTAAAACATTCCTCACAGGCCATTCACAGGGACAGTCACACCTATAGCAGTGCTAAATCAACCACAAAGAAGACAAAAAAGTCTGTAACTGTTAGAAATAAGAGTTCGGAATAACAAAAGCAAATAGGCTCATAGATTTGAGGAATATTTCTGAAGATTTGATAATTTGACTATAATGAGGGGGAGACTGGGACACTGGGAGGAAAGGGAAGAAACTACATCTGTGGAAGAATTAAATTGCCAGTGCAGGACCCAGAGACAGACAGAACTGCTCTCTAGTGACACGACTTGTTAAAATATTCCTTTGCAAGGTACAAGAACTATATACATTAACCATTCTGTTTTTCTTAGACTTGTGGTTATACAAGGGTATGTAAGACAGAAGGTCACATTCATCATACCATGCGGCCCTAACACTGTTCCATACTGACACGAATCAGATGAACATATATCACAGGGGCACACACGAGTGAAAATGGAGGACTTGTCCTCCTCCCTGTTAAAGGGGAACAAAGCTCCCCCCATGGCCTTCCTCCCTCTGTGGGGGTGCAGAGCCTTCACCACCCGCTGGCCGTCATACCTGAGAAGTTGTTGCTAAGGGCCATAGGAAATCAGGAGGTGGATGGTGACAGACAACATGGCTTCACTCGGGGCAGATCGTGCCTGACAAATCTGGTGGCCTTCTATGATGGGGTTACAGCTTTGGTGAGTAGGGAAAGAGCAACGGACATCATCCTCATGGACTTGTGCAAAGCACTTGCACTGTCCCCCATGATCTCTGTGACAGCCATGTCCCATTGTCCCCCATGGTCTCAGTGCCAGCCATGTCCCAGTGGGCAGCAGTGGCCATGTCACCATGGTGTCACCATGGTGTGTCATTGTGACACGGCGGCCTCAAAGGGTAGACGTAGCGGGCTCAAAGGGTAGAGGCCTCAAAGGGTAGAGGGCTGCTTGGTGAGGTTATCTGCTGCGTCTTGGTGAGGTTATCTGCTGCGTCTGGGTTGTGGGAGTGCTTCTGACAAGCCACGCCATGGCTGCCATGCAGGGTGAGGCCGCCAAACTGGGAGAAGAGGGTGAGGGCAGAGTGACCTCCCCGGAGCCCGCACAGCCCGCAGGCGGGCAAGGGGGTGAACAGGGCTGTGTGTGAGGCTGCAAGCGGTGAGGGGTGGGCAGGAGCCCCCCCAGCTGTCTTGGGGCCACGAGGGAGGGCCGTGTGGGGCAGCTGAGGCTGGCAGGGGGGCAAAGGAAAGGGGTCCCAGGGGCTGTGGGCACTGGTAACATCACAGGGTGGGATGCTGACACTGGAGGTGGCCTCAGGGAGGCCCACGGGTCGAGCAGCCCTGTGCACGCTGTGCAGGTGCAGGGTCAGGGCGGTCATGAAGGGGTCTTGGAGCACATATAGGCCTGCAATTAAGAGCTGACGGAGATGCAGGACTTGAAGGATAGGGAGCTGCTGGCGCTGCAGGCTGAGAGCGCCTGGCTGGCAGAGGAGCTGGCAGGGGGCAGAGGGCCATGGTGTCCCGTGGGAGGCAGGCGTCTGTCTGTGCACGGGGAATCTGACAGACCCTCATTCCTGCAGGTGGCAGAGATTCTCATGGCAATCCAGGGAGGCAAGAAATGCTGGACATGCCCTGCGAGCTCCAGGAACACCTGATGGAGCTAAGCAGAGAGGTCGGTGTCCCCTCCTCTCTCCGTGTCCCTCAGCTGTGACAGCTAGGGCAGTGTCAGGGGCTAAGTGCCTCTCTGCCGCTCCTCTTTGCAGAAACGTTGCGTGGCCCAGCTGCAGGAGTTGGTGGCATCTGTGAAGGTGAGTTCACAGACCCTCAGACTCACAGAATCACAGAAGGCTCGAGGTAGGAAGAGATGGCTGGTGGCGATGATCTTATTAATCACAGATTCAAGGAGAATGGCAAGGATATCTTGCCAGGTGGAGAGCTCACAGGAGTGCCTCAGTGCCCTGATGGCTACTCCTCTTCCCCTTCTCTCTCACAGAAGCACATGCTGGAGCAGGGAAAAAAACAGTCGCAAAGACCAAGATGTAAGGGAGAGTGTGGCTCATCCTAACAGATTTGGGGGAGAGGGAAGGGGGGCAGTGCTGGGTCCATGCACCCCCAGTGGCATATGGCAGCAGCGTGACTGGGCAGGACGTTTCCTACAGTGACATGGCAAGAAGGAGGTGCTTGGTGAAAGCCAACGTGGCTTCACTAAGGGCAGATCACGCCTGACAAATCTGGTGGCCTTCTGTGATGAGGTTACAACACTGGTGGACAGGGGAAGAGCGACTGATATCATCTGCCTGGACCACAGCAACAAATGTGACACTGCTCCCCATGCCATCCTTGTCTCTAAATTGGAGAGACACCGATTTGGTGGATGGAGCACTGGGTGGATAAGGAACTGGCGGGATGGTTGCACTCAGAGAGTTGTGGGCAACCACTCAATGTCCAGGTGGAGATCAGTAACGAGTGGTGTTCCTCAAGGGTCAGTATTGAGACCGGCACTATTTAACATCTTTGTCAGTGACGTGGACAGTGAGATTGAGTGCATCCTCAGCAAGTTTGCCAATGGCACCAAGCTGTGTAGTGCAGTCGACATGCTAGAGGGAAGGGGTGCCATCCAGAGGGACCTGGACAGGCTCACGAGGTTCAACAAGACCAAAACGCAGTGTCCTGCACCTGGGCCAGAGCAATCCCAAACACAAATACAGGCTGGGCAGCAAAAGGATTGAAAGTAGCCCTGAGGAGATGGTCCTTTAGATAGCTCAACACGAGCTGGCACTGTGTGCTTGCCACCCAGAAAGCCAACAGTATCCTGGGCTGTATCAAAAGAAGCCTGGCCAGCAGGTCAAGAGAGGCAATTGTCCCCCTCTACTCTGCTCTCCTGAGACCCCATCTGGAGCATTGTATTCAGCTTTGGGGCCCCCAGAAGCAGAAGGACATGGACGTATTAGAATGAGTCCGGCAGAGCACCACAAAGATGATCAAGGGGCTGGAGCACCTCTGCTACAAAGACAGGCTGAGAGAATTGGGGCTGTTCAGCCTGGAGAGGAGAAAGCTCCACAGAGACCTTTAATAACCTTCCAATACCTAAAGCTGGAGAAAGCTGGGGAGCACGGTGATACTTGACAAGGAGTAATGGCTTTAAACTAAAAGAGGGTAGATTTAGATGAGATACAAGGAAGAAATCCTTTACTCAGAGGGT